ATATGCAAATCTACAGTTATAACAATGTTCACACCCACATTCGGACTAGCGCTTTCTCTATCTTGTAACTCATCCAAGAATCACTTGCATAGAACTGCACTTTTTTTACGAGACGCAAAAGTGTAAATATTATACTTCGGTTCGAAAATTGTGTTCGCTGCTTCATAATAAGTTTTGAAATGCTTTCCAAAGGAAAGACTGATGTGTAACTTGATATACAAACACTGCCAATTCTTGCGTTCACGCATCAAACAGATACTCTTCTCCGTAATTTAGAAACAAAAACAAATAATTGTCGCAATCATTACTCAATAAATGGAGTCACTCCTATATAAAATAGAAATCGTCTAATCTATTTAAGATTAGGTGATTCGGTGATAGTGGGGTACAAGATGAAGGCTCACATTGAGTCTACATGAGAATATTCTTTTGATTCTCACTAACACAAATATCATCAACCATCCACTCGACCTATTTAAAATTGATAATAAAGACAACATAAAGATGAACTAAGTTATAATCAAAACGTTGCCTGTAATATATATCATCAGGGTTTCAGAGTTTTGATTATATTGTTACCAAACTATCACAAATGTAACGATCTATAATACATTTTTTTCATATGCAATACTTTAAGAATGAAAAAATTTTATCATAATATTTAAGTACAATATTCAAATCATCACGTAAGAGTGAGTAATTAGGAGCTGCAGAATTAACCTATAATGCAAAAATAATAGTACAAAATGTCAATCACTATTCTATTCAATGAAAGAATGCTGAAAGAAAACATTTTTTACCAAACAATAAAGCTTTTTCTCCTCTTTCGAATAATATATATGATTTATTTTTATAACATGTTCATAAACAAAACGACGCTACAGATAATAGAAACATCCTTAAAATGAATCCACACTTTTCATGAGACTTAGAAAAACGACAGAAAATGTTGATCTCTACATCTCTCGAATAACTCTTCTATAAATATGTTTCGAAAAAAAACATTTCTTTTATCAGTTGATAGGAAATTGTTTCCTCTTTCGAATAGTGTATGGCTCATATTTGTAACACATTGGTTACCAAAATGAGACGAGAACAAAAAAAAAGAAACATTCCTACAATAAACTTGTAATCTTTTTATGGATTCGTCAAAAAAGACATCTTATTAGACAATAATTAATTCGATTTTCGTGGACTGACTACAGAGGTCTTGTAAAAAAAGTGATTACTTTGACTTTTATGAAATCGTTAAAAACATCTTGTAAAAGGGTAGTTAATTATAATTAGCTGTCATCTACAAGATGTTTTTTTAACGAATTCATATAAAAACTACAAGATATATTTCGCGAGTCTTCCTTTTTTTCTCGTCTCATTTTACTTACCAATGTGTGACAAATATGAATCATACGCTGTTCGAAAGAGGGAAAAATTTCCTATCAACTGACAAAAGACAATTTGTTTTAGAAGCTACTTATCGAAGAGATACAAGGATCGACAATTCATGCCGTACCTTTATAGAAGAAGTACGATTTTTTTTCTAAGAGTTCTTCTCCTTTCTGGTGTGTAACTTTCGCTTATGAACGTGTTATAAAAATAAATTATATATGATTTGAAAGACGAGACAAGGCTCTATCATTTGGAAGAAAAAGAAGTTTTCTTTCAGCATCCTTTTATCAAACATAAATAGTGATTGACATTTTATGCTATTACTTTTGCATCATACGTTACTTTTGAAAGAACATTCAAATATGAGTATAGGCTGATGAAGAGAAAAGCTTAATGTGCAACAAGTTTTCACTGTATGGGAAGCATTTCGGTTGAATTAATATATGTAACGGACATCTGTCATTGTGATTCGAAGCGAGACTGACGTCGGCATGTTCGCGTGATGACATACATATTGATGACCGTTAAGCAGAAGCCAAGACAAAGACAAACCAAAGACAAAATTACTAATGATCTTATTATAGGCTGTTGACAATATGGAAGCGTGAAAAGATTACATTGCTTGTTCATTTTTTCCATCGCCGTACTGTACGTAACCAACCCGTTGAATGAATAAGTCAATTGGGAAAAGGTTAAAATAAACACACTTGTTAAAACATAAACTTCTTGACGACATAAGAGCACTATGACTATACCAAGTACCAATAAATTAGTACCAGTTGGGATGAGAGTATTAATTAGTTCATAAAGAAAACTAGGAAAACAGAACAGATGGCAATTCTCAAAAAAAGACATGTCTCTTATAAAAATCTATTACTCTCTGCTTGTTTTTGCTATAATGGCACCCTTACATCCGAGAGAAATGGCTTCGATAATAATGTAGCACAATCCTATAGCAATCAATTTATTTGAGCCTGATCGATCAATAGGATTGAACAAAAACGCCAACGAATGTTGTTTCATGGGATTATTGATGATATTGGGCGATGGTACAAGGACGACTTTTGATGTTACCCGTTGAGCCATTTTGTATGCTCGAAGTGTGCGTGGATTGTATTATGACTGGTTGTATTTGATATATTTTTGACTTGAAAAGTTTAGCTGTAGTCAAATGACTTTTATTTGGTTTATATATTTTTCGTTCTATAGATAAGTTTAACCTTATTCGAAAGTGATATGGCGAAGTGTTATCAATATCGTCAGCAACGCAAGAACACTCTATTATTTATATCTCTTAGTAACCTGGCTGCCCACTCCATCTCTTTTTCCTCTTTTTTTTAAACTCCTCTTGTTACCCTCTTTTTTATCAAAAAATTAAGTATACCGAGAAAAACTTAGCACAAATAAATTTTTTCAGCAATAGTAGGTTGATGTATGATAGTGAATACTGATTTGTGTTCTTTTTCACAACGAAAAAGAGATAGACATATGAAAATACTACATGCAACTATCTTGGATAGAAGAAGAGCTGAAATGAAACTAAGTTGTAACAAGATAGGCAAACGCAGTTAAAGATGATGAAAAGTAATTGATTGAGCTGCAATCGGTTTTTACAACATCCGATGTAGATAGTAAAGATAAAACGAACTTTGATTGATCGTTTGACATCCTTAATTCAATTACAATATAACGCAACATATTTTCTCTTAATAAAAGTTACGCTAATTGTGTTTCTATTAAAGAATCACTTCTGTGCTATATAATCTTTTCATTTTCTTCTCATTTTAATTTCTTCATTTCGCTGAATTGCGACGAATAATCGTGTACAATTGTGTAACATCACTGTTATATACTAACATTAAAAAAAGAACTTATAATATTTATGTATAATTAATTGAATTGCTCATTAAATGCATGATTATAAAACAAAGTTGAATCAATCTTGGTTGAATAAATATGACGATATTGGAAATTCAGTTAAATCATGGCTTAAAGAAAGGATCGTCAGAAACAACATTTATTTGTACAGCATGTTGTACTGATGGTTTAGACTGTTCAAACAAGGGCTGGAAGGCTGTTGAACAGCACATGTCAAATGAAAAACATAAAAAGAATTTAAATGCTGTGAACAATGACTTAAAATTTGCTATGCCAAAATCAACACCGACAGCTTCAATATGTTCTACAAATATTCTTGAACTAGTCAATACTAATAAAGCCTTGTCATTCGATGATCAAGTACCAAACGTCGAAATATCATGGGCGCTCAAATCTATTCAAAATTGCTTGAGCTATAACAACTCCGAAGACACCGATGAATTATTCGGAACAATGTTTTCAGACTCACAAATTCCCGAAAAATTTTTCATTCAACATTCAAAAATGTCTTGCGTTATTTCATATGGTTTTGGACCTTATTTCCGTGATCAGCTAATCGATGATATTCGAAGCTGTCAACGATTTGTCCTTTGTTTTGATGAACAAATAAACACCCAAAAACAAAAAACAATTAGATTTATAGTTTCGATATTGGGGCTCAAAAAAGAGTTTCTAGTTAGTAGATACTACCGAACGATTTTATTAAGCCATGCACAAGCAAGTTTAGTAGCTGATGGTATTTTTGATTCTTTACGAACTGATGGTATTGACATTAGAAAGATATTGATCTTAGGTCGAGATAATCCAAATGTAAATAAAACAGTCGAAAAAATTGTCAATGATGCCATGAAGAAGATTGGTGCTGAATAGTTAAACGTCGGTTTTTATAATTTACATATAATTCATAATGGATTTAAAGCAAGTATTGATCAATGTTATGAAAAATGCATAATCACGAGTTATTTTCTAGGAATCAATGAAACCAGCCGGCATGTCGAAAATTTTTGTATGGATATTTGGTTCTGGTTTCAACAATCAGCTGTACGAAAGGAAGATTTTGAAATCATTATGGATAAATTAAATGAATCGATTGAAAAATGAATCTTGTAGTTTTCATGTACCTGATGGTTACTACTTGGAAAAGTAGTTGAACGTATTCTTAGTGAGTAATAAATTGATTAGCTACTCCCTTTTTAAGAGTCAGTCTCACTTTCTCTTTTAGACTTATTTGATGTGCTAAAAGAATATTTCCTAGTCTTTGTACTATCAAATCAACGTAAAAATGTACAAAAAAATTCTCGTTATAAGCATACTAGAGAAGTATTAGCATCAAATATTACGAACGCTCGATTGAATTTCATCCTCTTCTTATGTCGATCAATCTTTGATCGATTTCTAACGTTGTTTCCAAAAGAATGACCACCTGTCTATCTGTTTCATTATGAACTTAGCGATCTTTATCATACAGTTTTATTGTTGTTTTTATCAGATAAGTATATTGAATCTACAACACGTAAAGCTCTTCTTGATATAGATTTCAAAATAGCTGCAAAAACAACTTACAACTAAAATGCTACAAATTGGTAAGTTGAAATTCTTGTGTAACAGAGACTTTGAAGCGCTGGAGGTGCTGATCTTCATATTTCCTGCTTTTCTTTCGTTTAGGAGAAGAAATACGTCGACTTCTGGTAGATGTATCAACTGCAGAACGTGCGATTTTTTTCAATGATATAAAAATGATGTACCGTGCGATTGTTGATAACTTGAAAAAATATCTGCTTCAGAAAAATAAATTCTTGAAAGATTTACGTGTTCTAGATCCTGCAGCAAGAACAGAATTTGATGCAACTGATCAAATGGTTCGTGTTGGAAGAGCATTGCCAAACTTATTAAGCGATTCTGAAATTGATCGTATTCGTCATGTGTTCATGATGTATGCAACTAAGACTATTGATAAATCTTGGCATATCAAGAGTAAGTGTCATGATCCAGATGGTAATACTCAGATAGAATATCATCATATCGATCATTATTGGAACAAGATGCTATCTTTAACAACTAATGCTGGATTGCCAAAATATCCGATATTGGCTAAAATTGTCAAAAATGTTCTCATCGTATCACATGGAAATTCGGATGTTTAGCGAGGTTTTAGTATTAATGAACATATAGTTATAGAAAATAGAACAATATTATCTTTGTCTTCGATCAATGGTCTTTGATTCATGTGGGATGGAAGCAAGTTTTATGGTTCAGACCAGAGACCGACAACGAACCAAACTAAACCGAAATAAAACGGTTCGTTTCGGTCTCTGGTTCAGGCTCACCACATCTTGTACCCATCGAGATTGATATGATTCACGCTGTACAAAGATCAAAGTCGGTTTACAACCAAGAACAAATGTCATTAAAGTCTATTAGTGAACAAATGAAAAACAGAGTGACACACCACAAAATATAAATAAAGGAAGGAAGAAATTAATTGAACAAGAATAGAAGTTGTTGTCTAAACAAAATAATTTACAAGATGAGCAAAAGAAAGCGCAATTGTTGGTGGATGAAGGGCGACATCGGCTTGATAGTGCTCTCAAAAAAGGTGACATGATTGATGCTCAAGCGACAAATACTGTAATTGGCGCTGATGATAACAAGGCTAAAACAATCTCTGAAGAACTCATCAAAGTCACAGAAGAATTATTTAAAATTCAAAGCAAACAACAAAACAGTTTTCATATCGACAATTAGTTCAAAATAAAAAAACAAAAGACAATGACAACAGCAACTAATTGATTTACAAAAGAATACTTCATATTTATACTTATTTTCAGCTTTTTGTACCTTGTAAGCTTCAATGTTATAGTAGTTTGTAGATATTCGAACTTTTGTCTTATTATATTTTTATGGTTTTCTAGTTTTTTTACCACATGCATTAGAAATTGAATAAAAATGTATATGAGCTAATAAATGTTTCTCTGCAAAATATATTTGAATCAACTACCAAATAGAGATTAACAAGGGATCAGTTTTGCTATGTTGAAGTTTTCTCTTTACTTTGAGTGCTTTTTTATGATTTTGAGGGTTAAAATAAGAGTCTCCTACTTTTACTCTTTTTTCTTTTTACATTCATCCTCTTTTTTTCTCTTTTTTCATGGATCATCAGTGGTTGGCCAGATTTGATGAGCATCTATTTCCAACGCTAACTTTTAGCTGTCAATATCGAGACATTTTTATTTACAAGCTTAAAAAGAAAATCCTACAATATACACAAAAAATGGGAACTAACAAAACAAATATTAAGAAGACTCAGGTTCGTTCGGCAAACGAATAAACATATATTTTTCGTTGTGTGAAAGAAAGAGAATCTTTTCAGTGGCTTCTGATGAATGATTTGGATTTTTTTATTTAAAGTATATTTTTCCTATCAACGAACTTGAATTTTCTAGCTTAGCATTGTTTATAATTATAAAATCGCAACTCTCATCGTCTAACCCATATACTTGAATGTATAACTGTTTTTTTGGCTGCTTGCAAACAATAAATTTGAAGAAAAAGTCTGCTCATTTAGATATGTTGCTTCCTTCTTTTTTTTTTTTTATTAAACAACAATTTATTGAAGAAATATATTGAAGAAATAAGTGAATATGAAAAAGACAAAACACACATTACATAAACAACAAACAAAAATATGATCTGTTTCAAAGTTTTTGTTTATTAAATACATCCTGCTTTAATGAACAGATTATAGTAAAAACAAAAACTGAAGTTTAATACAACTGGCACTTGACAATCTAATAACTTTCATATTACTGCTCCAAAACATAAAAGAATGTTTCAGTAAAACAATGATAAAATTAATTTCAATTTTTTCTCATGCGTACTTGGCTAGCAGGTTGAAGGTTAGCTACTAATATCAAGACACTTATACGTGAAGCACTTACATATGTGGCAAAAATGACAGGTACAAAAGCAATCAATAGCTGCCCGCCCCCTCCCCCCTCAAAAAAAAAGAAACAAATCCAAAAGATTTCGATTTGTTATTTTATAAACATAGAAAGTACTAATAGTTTACCATGACACTATTGTTTTTTGTTATAAGAAGTCTATCTTTGTGATGGTTATACATATATATGCAACTGTAATAGTTGCCTCGAATATTTATCATATCTTGTGCACATACATCGTACTGTACGACAAGTTAATCGAAGTGTCCAGTCTGACATGTGTGATTGAAATGTTTGAGAAAAGAAAGCGTTTCAGGTGCCGTGGAGTGTGATACTATCCATTCCAGTTTGAAACACGTTCCACTTTTTGTTTGGAACATTTTTTTCTTAACAACAGGGATTTCATTTTTGTGAAACGCGTTCTTTTTCGGTCTATTTGATAATTATTTTTCACTATGATGACATTAACAAGATTGAGCAATTTTAACAAGAAATCGAACTGAATTTCTCATTCATCCCATAACTTAAAAAAAGTCAAAAAAGTTCTTCACTTTCATGAAATTTGTATCAAAAACACAAAAAAATGGCATATATGACGGTTACATGAACATAAAAATTGACGTGTTTCAAATTCATTGAATAAAAGCGACGTGTTGATAAAACGAATGCAGTTAATTTGACCTTTAGTCAAATTCATGGAATTAAAAAAAATGTTCGCTTCATCATCTGAAATTTAATCTTTTTATTTTTTTAAGCCCCTAAAGTTTATCTTCAAAGACATTTTTGACAATATAGATAATCTCAAACATGTTTTCAAATGAAGTAATTTTCTAATTAGTATTTTCTTTTATTGTAGATTCCGTTTTAGATGCGTCTTTCAGTTCGAGATTAACGTAAAATTGAACAACATGTCGTTTTTCTTTAAGATGCCATGTTCCATCGTCATCCTTATAATCCTGCTTTTTTATTATGACTTCTATTCTTGTCTTTCCTTTAGATAATCAATTTATTAACAAGAATGACTATGTGTAGAATGATTTCAGAGACAAACTCAATTCAAACCGTCAATTTGAACGCATGAACTTTTTTTGAAATTTTTTTGTATTTTTCGATTTTGTTCTAACTTGACTACGAGGAATTGCATGCCTCATTGTTTTTCTTTTTAGTCTTTATTACATGTTTTATTCATGTAGAATAATGTAAATACGCATTTTTTCAATAAAAATATTTGTTCTCGTAGATTAGCAACATGAACTTCTCAGTATAACAGTAGAAATTCAGATTATATCAACAAAAAAGTCTTCTGTAATCTATTTAATGAAGTATAAGAATTGATCATGAAATCAAAATTTATCTAAAAAAGTCGCTCGAGTCATTGACGAAAATCGGTGATTCATCGTATTTCAGCCCACGTTTATCATTTCGATATATTGCGAATAATTGTCAGTTTTTTTTACTTATTTCGAGAATAAAGTTATTGTTTGAAGGCAATTTTCGATAATGTCATCCTTATACTCTTAATGTTGCAATATTATTAATAAATTAATGTATTGTTAAATTAAAAAATCAACTTTCGAAATAAAGCCTTATGCTTATCCATTAGTTAATTGATTACTAACCGAGAAAAAAATGAAATCTAACATATAGAATCTATTGAAACCTATAATATTGACTTACGTTATATACAAATTATGGTGAATAACTTCTAATATCTACAAAATAAAATATGTCTAACAATTTATTATTGTAATAAATTATTTTTCATATTACAAGACTTTTAGGTAATTTTCTTAAGAACTTGATGAATATTGAAGTATGGTAAGTGCTTCATACATGAAATTGAATTTGCTATTAATCACAAGAGGCAACCATCTTCGGCGTCATAGACATATTTGATGATAATTTATCAATAGTTAAGATGAATAACATGAAAACTTTATTCAAACTAGTCAGAAGCATAGCATATCATTCGTCTCTAAGCTCAATAGTTGTTTTCAAAAGCTCACCAATGTATTCTGTATACTCTTCTGTGGCTGTAGCAAAACTAATAATTTCTTGTCGAATTTTATTGTTTTCTTTTTTCGTTTGATTGGACCAATTTGCAGAAAAAATCGAATAGTATATTCGTTTTTGAATTTCTTCAAGATAAAACAATGAAAACAATGATTCAAATATGTTTTAGTCTGCAAATCGGTACAGTCAGACGAAAGGTGGTTATCAAATTGTACTAGGAAGCAATCATTCTTGTTCCGATCACGTAGAAGTATACGAGATAAACCAATGTCTTTTTGAAACAAACTGTTGAGCCTAGAGACGAATGATATGCTACGCTTCTGACTATCACTACCTTATATACGTATATGCTATAAACAAGAGATTTTGTTATTCATGTATAGAGACGAAATTAAAAAACAATTGTTTCCTTACTTTTGGCTTACCTTGTATACATCAATAAGACCTTCTACTTTTATTTTTTATTTTATTTTCATTAAACTTCTGAAAGACTCATCCGTATCTTTAAATTAGTGTCAATGCAGTCTACCCTTTTTCATGTTCATCATGCATCTTACCACTTCCTTCATCTTGTCTTTTTGTGCATATTCATGCAGTAACATACACCATTTGAGTTCTTCTCTTTTTCTTTCTATACTATTCCCTAATGGAATGTCACTATTTGCGTTTTTTTCCTCTATTACTATATACAGTTGCTATTGTGTGTGCGTATGCGTACAATGCCACTAAGATGACTAATGTACAGCCATCAGTGACCGAATCGAATCATTTTTTGTTGGTTTGAGATCAGCTCAGTTTAGATTTTCTTTTGAAAAATGAATGCGAGTTCGGCTCGATTCGACTTCATTGTTGAAAAATGGTTTGAGTTGGGCTCTATTCGAATAGTTCTAGTTCCGCCAAATCATGAATACACGATAAGTCGAAATCTGTTTCTTCTGGTTCAGTTAGCTTAAATCGTTTACAAAAAGAATCAGAAACAAGAAAATCTGAACTAAACGATATCGGATAGTAACTTTTTTAATGTTTATTTGCAATGTGTCAAAGAGTGTTAGTTTTTTTGAGTAAAACTTGAAACGAGAAAACTTTTATTTTAATTGAGTTTTATAATGGGGAAAATTTTTTAATTTACCGGCAGATTCTGCACGTCTGGTCACAATGATAAGACTATTTTTATGTCAGTTTGTTTTGCA